TATTATTGCAATAATTACATAACATTTTTTTGTGGAACTCTCTAAATCTGAATCAGTGGAAAAATACTGAAAAATCACTGATTAAGTCAGTACTTATAATCTAACTATAATTTCACTGATTACTAGTGAAATACTTGGGACTGATGCATTCAATGAATAATCATTGATAGTTAGTAACTATGCACTAATTCAGATTTAGAGAGTATACTTAAGGTGTGCAATAATAACCTATGAAATCTTAAAGCTGTCAGCGATTGTGTAAATGTAAATATTGTGCTTAAGAAAAAAAAATTAACATCAAAACACTATTTGAAATAGGATAACAAGGTATCCAGCGATCCTTGAATATCCTTGAATCCGGGAATTATTATGAAATTTAATGTGTTCTGGAAAATTCCTGGAAAACCCCTGGAATTTTTTAATTGACTTTAAATTCTTGTCATTCTTTTATTCTAAAAAAAATTAAATTGTAAAATAAGAAAAAAATAAATATTTCTTGCGTGTGTCAAGAACTATGTTGATAACATTGGTAATATTATTTTTGGAAAAGTTTAGTTATATAAGATAACTATATAAGATAATACTATATAAGATAACTATATAAGATAACTCTCGTTTAAAGATAAAATAAGGCAAGCAATTTGTAAAGCAATAAATAATATTGCTCTAAATTTGTTCGCATTTTAATCAAAATTTGTCATATAGAATTCTAATTTGTATATAAAACATATGATATTGCGCAAATCAATAAAAACTAATTGACCTGGGAAAAACCAGGATTTTTATCTGAAATTTCCTGGAATTATCCTTGAATTGGCTAGCCAGATATCGCTGGATAAATACTTGATCTAATCAAATAATATCAGAATTGCGTTTTATTCTTTCTTTTGCGTTTTATCGTTACGTAACTCAAAACACATTTGTTTAAAATTCTAATACTTAATCTGAAAAAACTTAATTGCGTTTTATCATTACGTTATAACATAATACGACAGTAAGAAATGAAAACTAATTCCTACTACTCATGTGGCAGCAAAAATTATTTTACGACATAAATTGCGCAATTAAAATAGCAATAATTGCTTAGAAGTCAAACAAAATTGTTGAACGATGCTTAACAGGGACCTATCGCGCAAAATAAACTGAACGATAATATTTAAACGTTCGCGTATATACGCGTATCTAAGGTGCGAAAGAGTTAAGAAAAAAATTTTCGTCGCACCGTTGCGGTAATTGAACGGAGTGTTTGCGATTTGTGTGCAAAATTGATTTATTAGAAACACGCGCGAAGTGCACGCCCGTAAAAGGAATATCAGACTGATTAATCTGGATTTGCGCCGCTGATAAGCTGACCGTGCCGATGACAAACCATGAGTCTTGTACCGTAGAAACGCTCAAATGTCATATTCTCTTAGCGAATTAATTTCATAGAATTAATTTCTTAATTTTGCAACACAGGTAGATAACACACAAGGGTCGAGTAAATTGCTACTGGATTCTAATGTAATCAAATTTTTACGAATGCTAGAAATCACAGACGCTATTTAACTATTTATTCTTTACTTCTAACAACGCATACAATTACATTGTATTACATTAATCCCCTTGATACGCACAACTGTCAAAATATACGATGACAGTCGTTCACGAAGTAAACACAGTGAAAAAACCAATTAGCATGCGTAAAAAACAACAAACAATATTATAAATTTCAGGACTTTCAAAACACTTTGACAGATTCGAGTATCAATTTAACATGTTTTTTTTTAATATATAAGAATTATGTCACTTAGTAATTTATACTATGAAAGATGATGGATTTAAGACATTATTTTTTGTTTCCCATTGTCAATCGCGTTGACATAAAAATACAATATAGTTTTTATTGTTCAAGCCAAATATTTATTGTAATTTTATGCACGTATCCTTTTTTTCTCAATTTATAGTATTCATCATATACATCGTATTGATAGTATACATCGTAAACAAGCGATAAAAAAAAAAAACATGAATATATTAAAGGACTAAGGCAGAGTCCAATTGTGTAATACTTGTAATTTAATACAATATACGTCACACATTTACGCTACCTAACTCTGGTGCAATTGTTTCTGACGCGCCGTAATCGTGTATTTAGTAACTTTCTCGCGGCACACTTTGCGGTGCCGAAGATGGCCTCTGTCGTGTCACTTTTCCGTCTCCCCTTTTTCTCTTTTCCCTTTTTGTTTCGAAGGCCTGCCACCGACGTCTACTCACCTGTCTGTTTACGTAATACGCGTAATCGACCGGGGAAGCTACGCCACGTCGTCGAGAGAGCGGGAGAGAAATTTACGCGACTCGATAAGTCTCGGCTAAATCCCGATTTGCACCGACGGCAAACGCTTTGTCGCTATCGGCATTATCTCTCTTAGCCATTCAACGGTGACACATACAGCAAAGCATGAAAAGCATTTCGATATAAAATTTCAGCGATAAGAAGGCGAGATCAATAAAAATAAAATCGCAAATGTCGATATGATGAATATTCTTGCAATGACTTCTATAACAGTCAGATATATTTTTCTAATCGAAAGTCAGATTTTTTTTTCCAAATTAAATCGGACGCAAAAGAAAATCTGATACGATTTTTTTGGATAAAAAAATTTCTATCAAACATTTTATATAATATAATGTTTTTTGCTATATGTATCTGTATATTATCTAGAAAAACCAAAATTTATATTTGAATGTTTGTCCGCTTGTTAATCATCCCAATAGACGCGAACGTTACGTTTGCGTATCTATAGTTTATTTTTCTCTCATCTTTCATACTTATATAGTTTATCTTTCTTATTATCAAAGCGACACACGATAAGATCGACATCTGAGAAGTGCAAAAATAAATTTAAAGTTAACCAAAGATGGAAAATAGGATATTAAATAAATTAATATATTGAATTGTTTGGAAAGTTCGGACGGTATTCAGATAGATCTTCAGTAGATGACGATCACAAATTGCAGCACTAATTTAAAATAATTCACGCTACACGACACGAGACATCGCGGAAATACTTCGCATATGTAGTTGATTAAATGTATGTATGAATATATAAAAAATTTGTTTAAACTTTAATTGAAAAACCGCACGAATTTTGCGAACCACCTTACTTATATTTTACTTTGGAAATACTTATATTTTACATTGAAAATTTCGTAATATAGCTGATTATAATATGATTTTTGAGAGAGAGAGAGAGAGAGAGAGAGAATGTAATGTGGCAATGCTAATAATATAATTAATCATTCAGATATATTGAGTATAATTCACATACACACGCACGCACACACACACGCAAAAAGAGTTGACATGAAAGATGACGTCTAAATAAAGCTATGCCGCAGCTATATACGAGATAATTAATTGAATAAGATATCTTGTCACTGAAAGTAATTATAAATTTATGAGAATCTATGCATAATTTTCAAATCACATAACCGTAAGAAGCCTAGAAACTTTAACCTAGAAATGTTTACGCAATAAACAAAAATTTCTTGCTGAAGAACAAATTTCCATTAGGAGAGAATATTGGCAGATAATAAATGACGTATACATAATGACCATATCGATCACTTCGGCGTACGAGAATAATTCTTTACCCTGCACGGCACGGCGCGCGAAGAGTCAATCTCGGCGCCGTCTTTACACCGCGCTTGAACAATCATCGTGTGCCTGATTCGCATGCACTAAGTGCACTTTATCAAATATGAATTAACTACGTAACCGTATGTAGGTCCGTATATATTCTCTCACTTTAACGCGATCGAGCGCGTAAATACGCCCACACATACATATACGACCGGTCGCATACTCGACTACGCCTACCTTCCTTACCACCGAGATTAGAGCTCAGTGTGTCAATGGCAACGTCATCGCGGTCGTCGTCGTTTCAATGAAGAGATTCGACGAAATGTTAGCCGCCCGAACACATTCTGCGGGTGACCGTTATTTCGACCTACTAAACGGACGACGTATACCCACACCGATATTTGACATACGAAATCGGGACGGGGCGTGAGCGTATTAAGAAAATCACGCGCGTGAAACGGCTGAAAGGAAATTGGGCTGTTGGGAATAGGATCGGTCAATTCTTACACACAAGACAAAAATTCAAAAGAAAAAGTAATATGTTATAGCTTCCTTTCAGAATCGTGTCACGATTTGTATTTGCGCTGTGTCCTTTATTGTCGTATCACATAAAAGGGTGCCTCATTCTCTTTCTCTCTAATCCGTTTTACAAAAGTTAAACAATTCTCATGTATGAAAGCACTTTTGGAGCATATATAGTTTTGACGGAGTATCTTCGGATGACAATTACTTACTATTTGCAAAGATTATACAATACGCGGGAGATATAAGAGGCCGTGAGACAAAAGTCGCAAACGAATGTATTCTTTCATCAATTTGGAGTCGATTTTTTCAATTTATTTCAGTATTGCATGACAACAAAAACAATGAAATAGAGGAGAGCTTTTCTTCTTTGTCGCCAGTATCTATACTGATGATTATATGATCAAAATATGTTTCTGATGTGCGGCCGTAAAGGTCGCCGAGTTATTCAAATTTTCAGCGATTATACTCTCGGCGAAACCTCTGCCTCCCCTTCCCTTTCTCCCCGCGCGTTTTTTATGGAGCTTTCTCTTAACAATGTATACTGTTTACCCCAATAGGTCTCATTCAGAACCGTTATTAACACGCACGAGAGAAATAAGAAGTTCATCGTTTTCTATTGAATGAAAGCACCGCACCGAGAATGATGTAAATGTATAGGTATACTCGGGAGGAATGTGGAACCGACTTCATTAGCATTATACTAATCCGATCTTAACATACATATATGATATCGGATACGTGTTGCTTCAAACGTCCTCGATCGTGCTTCGCGTCATAGGGACACCCAGTGCCGTTCTAGCAGGAAGTACAACACAAGCAGAAAGTAATTCTTACTATATTTCACTTTCAGATTCTATTCAAGATGACGAGCGCAGTGACGGGCCTGATGGATAGGTACACGGATCTTATGGAAAATCAATCCGGTAAGTCCAGACGTTTCAGTCGTATTTTGACATATCCAAATTTCCCTAGCATCCTTTAACTATTCCACGTACACCAATTCTATTTTATATATATATATATAGGATATATATATATATATATATATATATATATATATAAACTCATAAAGGCTAATAAAAAAGTGAATTGAGATTATAAAGTATATCAATTCTCTTTATCTAAACTGGGATAAATCATTATAAGCACACGTTATCATTCCGAAATTCGATTCTTCGAACATTCATTTTACTGTCATCATTCCAAAATGGCTATTATGGAGAAGTGGATATCGAAAATTACAGTCGCGTAATCGTAAAGATAGATTCTTTTGCTTGTGACTTGATTGGTTTCGTTTATTCTGTTGATCTAAATAATAATATGGTGTGTATTAATATGATAACAATTAAATCCATAATTAATTTGTTATTGAGCGCGATGTCCGGCATCATATCGCGACGATATTCAAACTATATTTTTATCATAAGATATCTGCGATCTCACTTAAATCTCCGGATGTGATATTCTTGGCCTTTTCTCTGTGAAAAGATCTCGCACAAAGCTGCTAAATTATTAAAGCGAAAGAAACACCGTGACCGACATCTTCGGGAAAAAAATATTGACAGAACTTGAGTATCGTCTTAATACGTTAGGCACAAATATAGAAATTTTTATAACGGTCCCTCGCAGTATGTAGCTCGTGCTAATATTTCGTCAAATTTCTTCACCGCACACGATTCGATTGCGATAACGTTGGCACGCCGAGTTCTAATTTTGCGGCACAGGGAAGTATCGCGTATTAAAAAGCTCTTTAAGAATCATAGATTCGAATGGCGATGTAAAAATTGTTCGCACGGCCTTCGGGACTTGGCATAAATTAATGAGATTGAAAAGCAACTCGTAAATACGTTCCGTCTGTTGACACGTCGCGTCAATTCACGTGAATTAATGTAATCGGTGAAATGTTTATGCACACTCTTTTCTTTACCGGTATTGCGTAATACACCAGTCGTATAGTAGTTTCGTAAATATGCTAATAGAGGAAATAAAGTGGAGGACACTTACGTAACGCGGTTCCATTAAATAGTCCGGTATTAGATGTTTAATTAAATGACACAACGATCGCGATGTTGGCGGATGAAAGGGAAAAAAAAATATTTAAAAAATCTCGCGCCCGATGTTTTCGTCGATCCTGATGGTGAGTGACCGTCATACGCGCGAGAGAAGCCCGCGTACTGCAAATTTATTCAAGGTGGTCGAGAGGACGAGGAGCGCTCTTATCGCCGGAAATCCCACGCGCGCCGTATTACAACCGAAATTTCAACGATTCCGCCGAGAGTCTGTTTACCGCGCGTATTTTCACGGCGACGAGAGACCCTCTCCCGCCTCTCTGCTGCCCCTCTTTTCGGAATCCTTCCGGCACGACGCGGCGCGCGAGTCAATATCGTGTCGTAACGCCCGGCAAAAGCGTTCCGTTTCTCTAATTTCTCCGAGAACCATTCGGAATCCTTGACCCCTCCCCCTCCCCTAACCCTCCCTTCTGTTTTCCATACGGGAGTGTCAATTCAGCCGTGATTCCTGTTCCGATATCTTTCGCGATATCCGCGTGGCGAGAGTGAAAACGAACTCATTAATTTGCACAGGTTCCCATTCGTACACCTTCTTGGAGTTTGATTCTAGAAGAAATCTATTTTTAGCCACCGGTAACTTAAGAACCGTCGATCCTCCAACGTCAAAAGGAAAAAAATTTTATTCACAAGTTAATCAATTAAAGAATGTGAATAACTTGCGAGAGGATAGCTTGTGTAAGAGTAGATAATTTACGAAAAGATATTTGCAAAATTTATATTCTCGACTATTTCGCACATCCGCTTAACTTTCTCGCGAGCGAATTTTGCTGAAAAAAAGAGAGATCAGGGAGGGAGTATAGAAACATGGGATGAACTTCGGAGCAGAAGCCGAGTAAACGGAAGGTAACTTATTAACGGACTCCTTTAGCTGTACACCTTTATTAACGTGACTGAAACGCGGAAAATTGTGTTAAAGATAATTAAAAGATCGACGCCGAAATCTCGTAACGAACAGCACGTGCAATTTACCGGCTAATTGCGGGGGAAGGGGGAGGCATCCTGTTACACGCCTATCCCGAGAGAATCGAGAGAGCTAAATAATGGACGTTCGTCTGCGGCGTCAATAAGGCGTTGACGGGGTAAGATCGGCGTCATCTTTAATTGGGGCGTGACGAGAACAAGAAAATTGCACAGTCGTTGGACGTTTCGCCGCGTTTGCCTGTCTTGAAATCGATGAAAGCAGCAATCCGCTGGTGTCCGGATGGCGACCGATATATATTTATTTTTTTTTTCCGCCCCATCAACGCGGCGCGGGAGGGGAGAGGAGCTCTCGTGTCGCGCGGAAAAAACAGACGTAACTCCGACGAAGCGGCGTCGACATGTACTCGGAATCGGTAGATACGTGGCGGCGGCGGCGGCGGCTCTCGCTATTTTCCGCTAATCGTATAGGCCGTGCACAGACACGGAGGCGCCCGCCGTTTGCCCGATCGTTGCGCGACGACGGCCGGCCCTTTGCCGCATTGTTGATTTCGTCAAAGTCCTCGGCGAAGGCATTACGTAACGCGCCGAGTGCACCGCGGGCATAGACGAAATTCGATGCAATATTCACCGTCGCCTAAGCGCCTTCGCCTTTGTCATTACAGTTGCGTGCCTCGTAACTCGCCCGCTCGCGCCCACTTTCCTTTCCGATACCAGCCGGCATGCGCTCGTTATTGGGACATCGTTCTCGGCGTCGCTTTTTTTTTTCTCCTCTCATCGATTAGCAGCGGACCCCCTCCGTCGTGCAGCGGCATCCGACTTTCCTATACGCCGATCTGTGCCGGTGTAAATCTTTTGTATACATACAAGACTCAACATCCGGATGTTTTCAACGCTTTGTAACCGTGAATTAAACGATTAAATTGACGCGATTTAATTAATAATAGCGTACTAAAAACGTACGAAGCGGTAATATATCGATGACGAGCAGCCGTCGGTGTCGCATCGTCAGCTTGTAATCGAGTCGTCGGTCAATTGTGTGTTGACCAAGAGCCCGAGCGTTTCGCTGAGAATGTTGAAAAAAAAAAGAAGCAGAGGGAAAGCAAGAGAGGGAAGAGAGAGAAAGAGAGAGAGGGAAAAAAATCGTTCCGCGTATCGGTCTCGTATATATCCGTCGGGTCGCACGAGTGCGAGGGTAATTTAGCGGAAGGCGACTGCTCACTCATTCGCGCCTCGAGTGCACGCACTCGCGCCTCTTTCCGCTTCCTTCCTCTCTCTCGTCGAGGGTGGATATAGAAAAATGGCGATGGCGCTCTTTCTAGGGTGCTCGGAAGACCGAACACATGCTGTCGCTTGAAAATCGCTCGGGATAATAATCCTCTTTTTTTCTTCTTTTTCTTTTAGGCGCGCGTATTTGAAAATCTCCGAAACTCTCCTCGGAGAAGGAAACGCGCGGAATTTTAATCGACGGCCGCGATTTGACTCTCCGTTCCCCCGTAAGTCTCGTTTGCGGCCGGGGTACCGGCGACGTCGTCGGCAATGGTGTAATAAATTCTTAACGCTCGCAACGGTACTTCTTGTCGCCAGTTACGAATTTTCGACCCCGTTACAGGTGCGCGGTCGTGCGCGAGATATTGTGTAACGCGGAGACGACTTTTAAATTGTCATCGCGCGCTCCACTTTCCAACGTGCATATGTATGATATGGCGTTGCGAAACGTCGTATACTCGTTTGCGCGAAATTTCGTTTTGTTTTTCCGCGTCTCGGTCCACCCACTGAAATCACCACCTTCCTTTTTAAATGTCTCTCCAACGCAACGGAACGTTCCGTCGACGAGATTCCGTCTCCTGTTTTTCTAACGTTCTCTTTTCTCTGTTTGTTTCCAGATCCCAGGGTGAACGATTGGGCGATGATGAGCAGCCCCTTCCCGACTCTGGGGATATGCCTGTCGTACGTTGTCTTCAGCAAGGTTCTGGGACCGAAGCTGATGGAAAACAGAAAGCCTTTAGATCTTCGGGGAGTCCTCATCATGTATAATTTGATACAGACCCTCTTCTCCTTGTGGATATTCTGCGAGGTTCGTTTATCTTATGTATTTCTGTAACGCCGGATTTACCGTCGCTGAAGGGGATTAGCACACATGGGGAGGG